CGATGTGGTCTTGAAAGGCATTAAAAGGAACTGCAACCATGCTCTTCTTAAAACTGTCCTTCATTATTAAAATCAGTCATTGTTTTTTAAGGCGAGCGATCGCTCTTGAGCACCTGTCGCTCACCTGAATGTCGACCGAGGGGAGTTTTTTTCTCTCTCCTTAAAATTGACCAGCGGCTGCCAGGCAGGATACGCCCACATTTTCGAGAGATGGATAGAAAACAAGCTAAAACGAAAGTGATTTTTCCTACAATCAAGGGCCATAATTCAGGAAATTACAATTCGATATGCGCAAATATCGAAAAGAACCAAGATCTTTGGGTTATAAACTTACATTTGAAGTTTCAACAAAATCGGACAAAAATTGCGACCTCTATAGGGTCCACAACCTTGACATACCATATTTTTACGCAAATTGAGAACGAGTGGCGGCCATTTTGTCTGTCAGTTTTGGGCGGATTTTCACGAAATTCTAACTCAGCCGTCCTTAGGGTGTAACGGTGATATAATAATACGGTTTTTTAAATCATATAAAAATTATGACCTCCATAGGGTCCACAAGCTAAAAATGCGATTTTTCGTACAATCAGGAGCCATAATTCAGGAAGTTACGGTCCGATATGCGCGAATATCGAAAGGGATCGAGATCTTTGGGTTATAAACTCACATTTCAAGTTTCAACAAAATCGGATAAAAATTGTGACCTCTATAGGGTCCACAACCTTGATATACCATACTTTTACGCTATTTGAGAACGAAGGGTGGCCATTTTATCTGTCAGAAAGTTACGGTCCGATATGCACGAATATTGAAAGGGACCGAGATCTTTGGGTTATAAACTTACATTTCAAGTTTCAACAAAATCGGATAAAAATTGTGACCTCTATAGGGTCACAACCTTGATATACCATATTTTTACGCTATTTGAGAACGAACGGCGGCCATTTTGTCTATCAGTTTTGGGCCGATGTTCACGAAATTCAAACTGGGTCGTCCTTAGGGTGTAACGGTGATATAATAATACGTTTTTTTAAATCGGATAAAAATTATGACCTCTATTAGGTCCACAAGCTAAAATCGCGATTTTTCATACAATCAGGGGCCATAATTCAGGAAGTTACGTTCCGATATGCACGAATATCGAAAGGAGCTGAGATCTTTGGGTTATAAGCATACATTTCAAGTTTAAACCAAATCGGATAAAAATTGTGACCTCTACAGTGTTCACAAGCTGAAAACATTTTTTTTCGTACAATCAGGGGCCATAATCCATGAAGTTACGGTCCGATACATGCCAATATCGAAAGGAACCGAGATCTTAGGGTGATAAACCTATATTTCAAGTTTCAGTGAAATTAGATAAAAATGGACGTCCGGGCGGACAGGACCGACGACAATATACGTATAAAATATACGTATAAAAATCACTCTCCTTTACAAAGTCATGGGAGAGCTTATTTTAGGGGAGTGATTTTTTCAATTTGTTGATTAAGGGGAGCTTTTTTCGGTTCTCCTCTAAAATATAAAACAACAACGACTGTAAAATGTAGTAACAAAAATTAAACATCTTAATACAGAAATTTGTTCAAGACTGATAATAATATAAACTTTGACTTTACACTTATAAGGGTCACAATGAAATAATAATACATGTATGTATTTGCATCACATACTTGTATTAATAAACTAGGTAACATACATTATCAAGCAAGGAATATTAAAGTTCAAAAGAAAAAAGGTTAAAGATACACTATGTAAGATTGAGATAAAGAGCTGACAATTCTTGTTAAAATAGATAACAAGGGCATCGCTACCACTGCAGAATACGTCCACATTCCTGCTTTGATTGATATGGTATTCTTTAAAATGAAAAGAATGAAATATGAAATGGCTGCAAGGACTGTATATGAGGCAAAGAAGGCTAAGTGTTGGATTTGTTTTGCCAAACTTTACAGACTAATTGTTAACAAAAAAAGTGGGTGTGACACCACCCCAGGGGGTTGGGGCATGCACCAAAATAAATAGTTGCTGTCTATATGGTATAAGGAATAAATATGTCAAGTTCCAAGATGATCCATTCAGAATTCCAGTCTGTAGACGATAAACACAAAATTTGGAAGTGGCTCTGCCCCTAGGGAATGGAGATAGAACAATAATAGGTACAATCCTGTTATAGAAATGATTGATATGCTGAATTTGAACAAAACCTGTAGAGTATTTACAGACAAAACATTAACAAAAAAGTGGGTGTGACACCAACCCTGGGGGTCAGGACATGCACCAAAATAAATAGCTGCTATCCTTACAGTATAAGGAATAAATATGCCAAATTCCAAGATGATCCATTCAGAATTCCAGCATGTAGACAAAAAAGATAAAAATTGGGCGTGGCTCTACCTCTGGGGGGTTGGACATGAACCAATATAAATAGGTACCAGCGGCTGCCAGGCAGGATACGCCCACATTTTCGAGAGATGGATAGAGAACAAGCTAAAAAGAAAGTGATTTTTCCTACGATCAAGAATTTACAATTCGATATACGCAAATATCGAAAGAAACCGAGATCTTTGGGTTATAAACATACATTTCAAGTTTCAACAAAATCGGATAAAAATTGTGACCTCTATATGGTCCACAACCTTGATATACCATATTTTTACGCTATTTGAGAACGAGGGGCGGCCATTTTGTCTGTCAGTTTGGGGCCGATTTTCATGAAATTCGAATATAAGAATACGTTTTTTTAAATTGGATAAAAATTATGAACTCTATAGGGTCCACAAGCTAAAAACGCGATTTTTCGTACAATCAGGGGCCATAATTCAGGAAGTTACAGTCTCCGATATGCGCGAATATCAAAAGGAACCGAGATTTTTGGGTTATAAACTTATATTTCAAGTTTCAACAAAATCGGATAAAAATTATGACCTCTATAGGGTCCACAACCTTGATATACCATATTTTTACGCTATTTGAGAATGAGGGACGGCCATTTTGTCTGTCAGTTTTGAGCCGATTTTTACGAAATTCGAACTCAGCCGTCCTTAGGGTTTAACGGTGATATAATAATACGTTTTTTTAAATCGGATAAAAATTATGACCTCTATAGGGTCCACAAGCTAAAAACGCGATTTTTCGTACAATCAGGGGCCATAATTCAGGAAGTTACCTTCCGATATGCCCGAATATCGAAAGGAACCGCGATCTTTGGGTTATAAGCATACATTTCAAGTTTAAACCAAATCGGATAAAAATTGTGACCTCTACAGTGTTCACAAGCTAAAAACGTGATTTTTCGTACAATCAGGGGCCATAATCCATGAAGTTAGAGTCCGATACATGCCAATATCGAAAGGAACCGAGATCTTAGGGTGATAAAGCTATATTTCAAGTTTCATTGAAATCGGATAAATATTGTGACCTGTAGACTGTTCACAAACAATTGTGGACAGACGGACAAACAGGGGCGACGACAATATACGTCCACACGAAAATGTGGGCGTATAAAAACCCTGTGATGAATCAAGTCGAATAGGATCCAAATCTGCTTTAATAAATGCAACTTGTAGATCATTTACAGACAAAAAGTGGATGTGGCACCATCGAAAGGGGGGGGGGGGGCATGCACCAAAATCAATAGTTGCCGTCCAAGCATACCATGTTCCAAGATAATCCAATCAAGAGTTGCAACCTGTATACAATAAACACAAACATTGGGCGTGGCTCTGCCCCTGGGGGTTGGAACATGCACCAAAATCAATAGTTCCGTCCTTAGGCTATGAGGAATACATATGCCAAATTCCAAGACAATCCATTAATAATTGTGTCCTGTAGGCTACATACAAACAGGGGTCAAAATTTGTGAAATTGGAACAAAGGCATTTTTTTTTCAAAAAATACCAAAGTAATTCCTTCGTCACTATAGCAGTTTTTATGTACACTAAGAGAAAACTTTTAATTTAAAGATTAGGAATAATAAATAAAACTCTAAGCACAGCGTTTTAATGTTTTCATTTATAATGTCTATTCAGACATGCATATCGCCATTATTACAGAATTCGTCTAGAATTCGGTCACCACAAACACCCTTAAATTGTTTAGGGATTTACGTACACCGCAGTCCATATGAATATCGTAATATGAATCCGTTTTATTTCTTTGAAATCAGAAGGCCTAAAAATTCTTGCAAGCCATTGAATCTGCTTTGGCTCAGTGACAATATAAGTATCGGTAATACCGTAAATTGATTATCAAAACACGACTTCACACCTGTGCATGACATTATATTACATGTACCTGTAATGCCCCCTGGAATTCCTTTTTCACATCCCGTCTAAGGCGTCAATATGCTAAAAATAATATTATATAAAATATTTTCCCGACTAAATCATTTGATTTGTCATATTTTCCAGTAAATTATTCATAGCCTTCATTTCTGGAAATTGTTTTGAACTTTTTAAATGATCAAATACACCAGACAACGAGCCGTGTGCATTTCCATTCCAGCCACCAGTGTATGATGTTACGGTAGAATTAGGTCAGATGACTTGGGGGTTACATGTTTTATTTATTTGGATATAAATATTTCATAATGCTATAAATTAGTGTTAAACAGATAAAAACATGCTTAGATGGTGTGAAATTCATTGTCATAAAATTGGCAGCTATTTGACTTCCAACTATCGCAATTGTGGACGCCGGACCGACAAACGGAAGGGGGCAACGACAATGTACGACCACATCAGGGATCGAAAATATGTCAAACGAAAAAAAATGCGTGTAACATTTTTTCGCTTATTGTTACTGAATATGATTATTCAATAAAAAAAACAATATACACACATATCATAATTGACCTTTTTTTGTGTTTGACCATCTGTCCTTTCATTATTGTCGTTATATTCCATCAAACAAATTCCGACATCGATGAAAAATGTATGTTATATTGGCGAATGGCTTTCACGCGACACAAACAGTTTTAATAGTAAAAAAACACGTACCGTTTTGATTTTTCTGGATGATATTTAACATAAGTATTGCTTAATGATGAATAAATACTGTTATAAACTCCCGAGTTATTCATTCCACAAGATGCAAATGCCGATAAGGAGCTTTGTTTACGTCACGTGACTTCTCGCTCACTTTTCCACCTGTTAGCATTATCCCATACTCCTTGCAGTGTTTCGTTTGATTAGAGCTAATCCCACTACTGACTGCTGTAAACAAAGCAAATTCTTGTTGTAAATTATGACTGGTCAATAGTCTGATTAACAACCAATAGCTAACTGCATAACAATACCAAAAATAGCTCCCCATTGGACCAAATATGTTTACATAACGTTACGTCATGACTCACAATTTTATTATTCCCAATTAACCAGTGCATAGCAGAATATTGCAGAAAACCTAATTGTGTGACAAACAAGGCTATCAACTGTCAACACGGATATATAATGTAAACAATATTGTTTTGAGACGAACAACACTTTCACCGTTTTCAATACCTTAAATCACTGTCCAAAGTTTCAGGGAAGACCCCTGATTAAAAGAAGGGCTGTCATGTTGCTGTGCTTGTGAGTATATTTGATTGAACAGAAGAATAGACACACTTCCTCAAAAGCACAAGTATCAGAAGCTAATCCAGCAATGGCCAGAGAGGGATTTCTCGGGCCTTTGCTTTAGGAATATGGCATTATCCCTGTTTCTGTTCAATTTCTATACATCTTGACAAATTCTTTATACCGATACTTTGATTTTCCAAAGGAATCATTGATTTTCAGATTGAAATAGATTTTAAGAATCCAAAAATATAAATAATGCCAACATTGCCAACTATATATTTTGAGAGTTCCGGTAGACTGATTGATTAGTGATTATCATTCAACGGACGTGCGGTCCGTGATCCGAAAAATTGCTATTTCAGTATTTGACATCAATGGGCACTTTTTGACATAGTACAATTATGTTTTATAGTTTAATTTACTATCCTTGTATTATATAATGCATCTTCAAGAAGGTGTACGCTTGAGTAAGAAAAAACAAGTTTTCAAGGGTAGCTATAAAAATAAATATGCACGGACGAAAGAACACAAACTTTTTTTTTATGTTTTTTTGTGCCTCCGCCATATGTAACTATTTTTAATTTAAAAAAAAAATATTATAATTAATATTTTGAAAATTAAAACTAATAAACAACAACTTTTGCAAGTTTGTAAATTTTGTTTGTAAATTCAGTACTGTATGCTAAAAATATTGACTAGAAATAATAATATTGACTAGAAAGTGTCAAGTGAATACTCCAGGGGTATTCCCAACTTTTTATGCATATTTATTTACATTTAAAAAAAAAACCTGATAAACTGAAAGTATTGACATTTTATAAAATATTGCAATATAGTGATTATATCGCAATGTTTTCAGGGATATCGCCCAGCTCTAGTGTTGAGGGCAGTTTTGTGTGTTCATTCTTGTGTTTTATTAGCCATTAGCTTTTTAATGAAATTGTAAGGAATATGTGTACACTCCAATGTATAACATAGCTTGTACATGTAATCCAAAGATAATAAAAGTATTTTCATTAAAGAAAAAATTGCCCCTTGAATTTCTTTAGAATCTTAGTTTTGCTTGTACATTTGAAATCAACAAGCAAAATTTTGCTTGTGTGTTTTCAAATAAAGTTCTATCCCTGGACCACATTTCGATGTGGTGGTATAAAAATGGGTGTGGCTCTGCCTCGAGAGATCATGCATTCACCCACAATAATATGGATCATCCTTATGCAAAGTTTCAATACAATCAGTTAAGAATTACGGCCTGTAGGCGACACACAACCATAGACATAGACCGGGGCGACGACAAAATACGTCCACATGATTGTGGGCGTATAAAAATTAGATAATGAAAAGGGAATATCTTGAAAAGTTCAGTCAAATTACTTCATTTTGAATGGCACACTAAGAAAATATCTCACTAAAGAAGCCAGCTATTTGACTGATGAAATTCGAAACACTGCAATAAAGTTAGCTCATAGCTGTGTTTTTCTTTATTTAGTTTGAGTCTACGATTATTTGCCGTCTATGACTTGCCATGTTTTTATTTTGCAAAATTCAAATATTTTTCATATATAATTAGTCAGGTGTGCCACTATTTTTTTCATGTGTTCCAAAAAAGGTTGAGAACCACTGCCCTAAAGAAAGGCCTGTAAAGGCCTGTAATAGTTATATTTAGCTCTTGCATAATGTATCTTTAACCATGTGAATTCTTCAATTCAGCTGGTATAGAAACAGAGAATACGCTGCCTCATACACAATGCCAATCACTACAGGATTGATGGTTTATACATTGTGGTATAAATGCTATGTCACTTTACAAACTACACAGCACTCCTGTCACTTTAAGAGATTTACATGTAAATATAATAAAATCAATGATTAATCTAATCCAAGTTCTGAGTTTGATCGTAATTACTTGCAAAAAAGCTTTTACTTTCTCACCTAGAATATTTATCTAAACTTCCAGCTGTCTAAGATAAAACATATTCACCAAATAAATTCCTTATTTATCACATGTATGATAACACAGAATTATATTTCAGGGCTGGGCCACAAACACTCCAGTAGAAAATAGACTCAAACTAAATAAAGAAAAACACAGCTATGAACTTACTTTATTGCAGTGTTTCGAATTTCATCAGTCAAATAGCTGGCTTCTTTAGTGAGAAATGTTTTTAGTGTGCCGTTCAAAATGAAGTAATCTGACTGAACTTTTCAAGATATTCCCTTTTCATTATCTAATTTTTATACGTCCACAATCATAATGTGGACGTATTTTGCCGTCGCCCCTGTCTTAATTGATCGAATCGAAACTTTGCATAAGGATGATTCATATTATTTTTGGTGAATGCATGATCCCCTGAGGCAGAGCCACACCCATTTTTATACGCCCACATTAAAATGTGGTCGTATATTGTCGTCGCCCCCTCCGTCTGTCGGTCCGGCGTCCACAATTGGTTGTGAAAGCTCTAGAGGCTAAAGTTAATATCCGATTGACTTTAAATTTATACACAGTGTTTAAGGTCATGAGACGAAGAAACCTATTGATTTTCGGCGATTTCCGATAAATACTGCCAGAGTTATGGCCCTTGATCACTTCAAAAAATCTTGCGGACACTCTAGAGGCTAAAGTTAATATCCGATTAACTTTAAATTTATACACAGTGTTTAAGGTCATGGGACGAAGAAGCCTATTGATTTTCAGCGATTTCCGATAATTACCGCCAGAGTTATGGCCCTTGATCACTTCTAAATATCTCGTGGACGCTCTACAGGCCAAAGTTAATATCCGATTGACTTTAAATTTATACACAGTGTTTAAGGTTATGAGATGAAGAAGCCTATTGATTTTCAATGATTTCCGATAATTACTGGCCCTTGATCACTTTGAAAAATCTTGTGGACGCTCTACAGACTAAAGTTAATATCCGATTGACTTTAAATTTATACACAGTGTTTAAGGTCATGAGACAAAGAACTTAAGAAGCCTATTGATTTTCATCGATTTCCAATATTACTGCCAAAGTTATGGCCCTTGATCTCTTTTAAAAATCTTGTAATGCTCTAGAGGCTAAAGTTATCATCTGATTGACTTCAGATTGATACACAGAGTTTAAGGTCTTGAGACAAACAAGTCTTGATATTCAATGAATTTTGAAAACTTGAACAGCTAAATCCATGATATTAAATGTTTCGTATACTAAACGTTAGCATGGGGCAGAACTTTATAAAAACCAAACAAATTTTAATGATTTTCTGATAATTACTTAATGAGTAAACCGAAATTTTGAACTATTAAAAACGAAACGAAAGAGGATCTGTGTCTTAATCAGATTGAGTTTAATGTTAAACTTGACTGGATTGATAGCTAGTGGGGGCGACTCTTGTACTGGTTAGTGTACATTATAAAAACTCTCATCTTATTAATCTATTTTCCTCCATTCACTATCCATTAAAATGCCTGTGAGCTAGTAAATGGCCATATTTCACCATTTTCTTCAGTATACAGTATGAAAATACTAGAAATAGTGGATATACTTATGGGTTTGAAAATGTCATGTGATATTCATACCAGAAAAAGTCACTAAAATATAGACATAATAAACTGGTAGAAAACAATGATAATATATTTTTATACGCCCACATTTTCATGTAGACTTCTATTGTCGTCAAGTTTAACATTAAACTCAATCTGATTAAAACACAGATCCTCTTTCGTTTCGTTTTTTATAGTTCAAAATTTTGGTTTACTTGTCTTCCCAACACTAGGATCTGGAAAAAGTTGTTATATAAGCCACGTTCTGGTTAATGTGAGGGATTAGCAGGGCGCGAACTAGTGGGCGAAATAGTCTCCCAACCACAGCTGATTTCGCCCTCCAAAGAACCTAGGGCGAAGTTGAAGTCGCCCTTGTGTCGCCGTATATTTACTGAAGGGCGAAGTAATTCTGGAGACAGATTTACCGTACATAAACAAACACGTGTGACTCACTGTTAGGCTCGAAGGGAAATGTGAAAATTAGACATGTTGTGAATAAATTTGGGAGACATATATCTACATTTTTATATGAGAAACTAGGCAAAGCTATTTTAACTGTTTTGTTAAAGATAATTTAAATCCATCTAAAAACAATAATAATTCAAAATTTAGCCAAGGAATCTAATTATTTTCTCTCCATTAGAACCTCTATCCAACTCTGAAAATTGCAGCCAATCAGCAACGACTCCATTAAACATGGCGGTGGATACAATTTTTTCTTGTGGTATTGAGATCTATCAACGAAGACAGGCTTGTTTTTGTTCTATATACAAAGAGACTTTATATAAAATGAATACAATTCATAGAAATTTGCATACAATGCCATAATTTGTGCTTGAAGGTCTATGAAACCCCAATATTGATATTTTTAGCATGGACCACAGACGTCAACACGTGTTTATTTTACTTACAACTTACAAGTCAAGTTACACATCGACTTACACAAATGTAGTTTAAGCTTGCACTATCTTGTATGTATTAAACCTAAAGTAAAAGAATGAATTTGTATCTAAATAAATGATTTTTATGATTATATTTTTATGTTCCTTATTAGGGAAATTATTTTGAT